TAACGTTCTTAAATTAGTATTTAAGTCTATGTATTTCTTTAACCAAGAACTCTGTTTAAATTTTAAAATTCTATGTACTTTAATTAATTTAATCCCCATTTCAATGCATTGTTTTAAATTCCTGTAGTGAATGATGTATTTATTTTTATTATTTAAATTAGAAAACTAATTTAGTTTCTTTAGTATTACCCACACATATGTTTTCAGGACACAACGGAAAGTCAGAATGCAAATTATGAAGTTCATCAGGATATTCCAAATCAACTTCTAAAACATAACCGAAATCAGAGTTATCCAATACATTGTAATCTGTATTAGAATCAATCCATTCGAAACCACCAACAGGAAGAGATTGAGACATTGCCCAACCGTATAAATTATTTGCATCAAAATAGGTTAGGTATGAATTAGGTTTTTCACTATCATAATCTTCCATGAATTTATTATTTGCTCTAGCAAAACGATTGCTACACTGAGATACACCCCCTCTAATACCAGCTTTAAAAAAAGCAATTTTGTCATAGTCCGTTAACAATTCTAATTCTATTTTGGTAAATTTTAACATTGCATCCCAACTTAAACCTGGGGCAGTATAGTAATGAGCAGGATCTAAATCCATAAGTTTTAATACAAAGCTTTCTAAAGTTTTCAAATAGATCAGTCAAAAGTAAAACATCAGTTTTTAAATATAAATTGGAATAATCAGACATACTACTACACTTAAAATTTTACCAAATATCTTTTGCATGATTATAATCATCATTTGAAATATTTGAATCTGTGAGTGAACTTTAAAATTGGTGTTGATCAGGAAGTGATGGATGTTTCAAGCAATCACTATTACACATAAATTCCTAAGGATAAATACCTTTCCGTCTTAAACGTGAAAAGTCTTCATTATTAGGATAGTTCCTTTTTAGTTCTGTAAACTGATCATCATTAAGATTTTTAGCTAGTTGATCTAAACTACACGATAAAAATTTCAATGAATCTACAAATCTTAAACTTACCGGTTGATTATTTATTGTTAACTGTTTTGAAAATGATATGTATCGTTCTTTATTTGTGGAATAACTTCAACTTTGTTATCATCGAAGTTTAATGCATGGACAATGAAATGAGCATCGTAGTGACTGAGGTTATGTAAGAATATTGGGATATGACGAGGGGTTCTGTACTTAGAACTACACACATGCATTGATGTGCAACAACCCTAAAACTGCCAGTGTGCCAATCAAAATCGTAAAAAAGATCTTCATTTACCTCAGTTTCACAAATATAACATATGTTTGAATTTGAAATTTTAATTTTATCTTCATCTGATAATGGAACGGGGCATTTTTGGAAACTATTTTTTTAACTATTGTTTTCACATCTTCACAAAGGCGATTCATAAACACTTGTGCACAGTTTGACCCACTATACGTCTCATATTTTGATAATCTGTTATCATATGAACATTTAATATAATATCCAAAACTATACACTTCATGTTTTTGAATATTAATCGTACTAGGCTGAGATGGATCGTTACTACATGATTCTATTGGATTCAAAATGCCTCAAAGTCTGCATAAATCACAAAGGGCATTTCCAACTTTTTCACGAATTTGTCAAATTTTATTTTATTATTTGAGGTCGGTTTACCAAACCAATCCTTTTTGGAATACTCGCCGTTTGGTAATTCCGTATAAATGTGAGCGCAATCATATTGTCGATGGCTATTAAGTCTTTCCTCTGATGGGAAATGAAGTAAACATGAATCACATATATAACTCTCAATGTTGTCTTGATATTTGTGAACTAACTAATCGCGATAAGTTTTTAATATAACAGTACCTAATGATTTTTAATACCATTCGATATATATAGTAGGTTAATATGATTAGGTGTACGACATTTTGTTCAATATAAAGGACCTAATAATTCTGTTGGAATTACACTTTTTTTCTTTATTAGGTAAGCCAAAAACATTAATACTAATATTGTTTAATTTCTCAACTTTTGATATATCTGCAATTTTAACCGGAAAGAAATACCAGTAAATTTTAGTTTATTTCCATGAATTGCGTAAGATGCTACCCGATCTACACTTTTACATACAGGATATAAACCAGAGAGTAATGCAATGCCCATTTGCTGGGTCAAATGATGTAAAGTTTAAAGTTTGCATTACGAACGCAACTCTTATTGATCGAAGAGCTTCAGCTTCTACCACTGCTAAATATCCTATTACTCGTGCTGAAGTTAAAGTTTTAACAATTCCATCGGGTGTTCAAGGAAAAACTCTTGATAATATATTCTTAGGACAGGTACCCAAAAGATGTATTATAGGTTTTGTGAATAATTCTGCATTTAATGGTTCACTAACTAAAAATCCATTTAACTTTGAAAATTATGGTATTAACTCTTTCAGCTTATATATTGATGGTCAACAAATACCATCCAAAGCTTTGCAACCATCTTTTAATAATAATATATTTACATCAGCATATCATACTCTATTCTCGGGGACTGGTATTCACTTTCTTAATGAAGGAAATGCAATCTCACGTGAACAGTATGCCAAGGTTACTGTCTTTTAGCATTTGATTTAACTCCTGATTTATCAGCTAACTCATCAGCCCATTGGAATCTCATAAAGCATGGTAGTGTAAGATTAGAGTACGATTTGAATACTCACTAATACAAACAATTAACTGTATTGTTTATGCTGAGTTTGATAATATTATTGAAATAGATAAAAATAGAAATGTTACTGTAGACTATAGTAGTTAGGATTATAATGTGTATTGTGTTTTAGATATATGTGTTACGCTTAATGCATTTTGTGTGTGTAACTAAAGGTAACATTATAAAATTTAATAAAACAAAATGTATGCAATGTACTATTTTTATTTACTTATAAACCTTCCCTATTTAATCTTATACAATATACTACTTATAATTAAAGTAGAGAAGAGAGTATCCGAGCATCACCATACGATAAATCGAACAGTTCAACGCTTCTCCATTTCATCACAAACTTTTATATCATTAGTTAACATATACTATTAGTTTATCTATGATTAGTTTATAAACATCTTTAGAATCCTTAATTTGTATTAATATGACTAATCCACTAATGAGTGAGTGTTATTGTTAAAAAAGTATTTTTTACTTTTTCACTTTCTGCTATTGTCTTTGTAATATTGTATACGAGACCGTTTGTGTTGTTGTAGATGCTATCCTTATAATTCTTTACGTAATATTTAATCCTCGTGGTAGCGTGCTTCCAGTGATCACTAGTTGGAATCTTGGATAGTTTCTTCATATCTTACATTTCAATTTTTATGAGATGCGTCGCTTGGTCTCCGTCGTCAGAATTTGTAGAGATGTATGATACGCCATCTTTAACAGCTCGTGCCACAGTCGACGATAGCAGCTTCCTCCATTTTATTTTTGGTGCCACTTCAAAAAATTTATCAATCGGTTGCGATTTCCTTTATCCACCATCGTCTGTGTTATTAACGACGATGTCGTCACTCTCTTCTTCGTGTTGGGGAGAGAGAGGCGAGTAGTAATACTGTTTATAGGTATTTACATTATCGTCTGCGAAGCTGAATGATCTCTGCAACAACAGAGTTATCACGTTAATATCAATTTGATTAATCTGACACACACACACACACACACACACATACACACATAAGGAAACAACAACAGAAATACAAGTAAGTTTGTCAATAGAATAAACACTTACCTCCATGATGCGTTGAAGTAGGTAACACAAACGTAGTATTGGTAGACGTATACAATTCACCATACACTGATTGCATGACTGCAATTGTTCCATCATATATAGTCCATTCTTATCTAAAACATGACACACACATACACATCCCTAAGTACAACGAAACTCTATGAATCAACAAACTTATCTCACATCACAACAGGCATGAACCTGTTTTGTGACTTACACAAAGAATGCGATTTTTTATTTACAAATCACTATCATTGAACATTCCTATGACAACCATTTTATAGATTGGTACTGTAATAATCTGCTAATAACAGTAATATCATGGATTCACTAGAATTACAAAAACATATGAAAAAGATTCATTCCAGTCTAGAAAATAATGTTTATGCTGCTAATAGACTACCTATGTACACACATGTACCAACGTATATAATATGCAATTTGGATGCGGATGATAAACCAGGGTCACACTGGGTAGCCATACATATCGATACAAATGGTATCGGCCAATATTTTGATTCATATGGATGAACACCTGAGCGATATCATCTTCAGTTTTTGAAAAGGAATTGTAAGAGGTGGGACTGGAATGTTGATAGGATTCAGAATGATTGGACTTCGGTTTGTGGCGAATATTGCTTAATGTATTTGCTATTTAAGTTTCAGGGATGTTCAATGCATAGTTTTACGAACATATTTACAGGAAACACGCTGTACAATGATAATTTAGTGGATGAGATGTTTCACTCATATTTTGTAAAAAAAGTAATAAAACTTCGAAATAAAAATGAATGACTGTGTTTTATTGATGATATAGAAAATCAGACAAAATGAAGATAACAATGAGTATTAAGATAAGAACGCCAAAGCAACCGTAATGAGAGAGTTCGAAGCACAATAGATAATGATAACGATAGGCGAACAATGGGACGTTAAGTAATGTAACGATAAGCAAACAAAGGAACGTTAATGAGGGTTCAGAAGCTGATTCTGATTTGCATAACTCCAGAACCACGCATCCTACGCAAAAATGGACTGCAGAAACGTGATCAGAGCATGCCAAAACCTAGGATAGCATACCAAACTTTTTTTTTTTTTTTTTTTTTTTAGGTTTGGTGCCACTCAGATTTTAGATTCCGGGTGATTAGCTGGTTCTGGCGCGTGCGCCAGAAACAGCGATTCACCACTACTTTTACCACGACCATTGAAACGAAAACGATAAAGAAAACTATAAATATTAATGTTCTAGTCTACGTACCTAAAATCCCCATAAGCACCGCAGGTTCCCTTGAAGGTATTTGTGGTAGAAACGGTATAATCTCATCCAACACCAACCATTTGTCCAAATGCTCCAACAATTTGCCCAAGCACAGCAAACAGTTTACTCTCACCGATATATAGTTCGTGTTCATACACAATTTCTTTATTCGCGGCAGGAGAGCATTCTTCATAGCTGGGTAATCAATCAAAGACGCAAATGTTGGTAGAACGGATAAGCACAGCTCCTGGATTTGTTGGGCATCCGATTCCAGCGCTCTGTACAACATTGGCAATATGTCCGATTTCACTTCCTCTCCTGGAGTCAACTTTAAAAGCAGCTCCATTTTCTGCATGAATATCAGGAGGATCTGTATAGGATCCTGTATCATCATCACTGGCTTTAGGACAGGGAGAATGTATTTTATATATTCTTCTTTCGTACTGTTTTCAGCGATGAGTAAAACGTTGGGGAGGACGAAGGGAACCATGGGCGGGTTAACAAACTCTTTGGTAAGGCAAGGCAGGATGCGGTAGATGCAGATACGATGCGGCATCTTTTGTATTATCTGTGGTAAACCTTTGTAGAACTGAGACTTCTGAAGGTTGTCCCATTGGAACAAGGAGTCCAAGTAATTTAGTGTCTTCACACCAACATCTTCGAAATACTGAATCTGTAAAAATACGATCAGGAGTTATTTAATGTTTATCGCATTGAATTTTCAATTCTATTGTCAATTAATTCAGACTTACTTTCAAAAACTGATGAGGATCTGGCCTTAATTCGGGCGTAACATTCAACAGCAGCTTCACATACTCCCTCAAGCCGTCAGTCACACAAGACAATCTCGAAGGCGACAGATTTCTAATCTCATTCACAAATCTCTTGAATTTCCCGTAATCATTGCCTACATTACCCAATGTCTGATGTCCAGTGCTATGCAAGGCATAAATCACCATGCCAAGAGAATATAAGTCACTGGCAGGAGAATGAGTAGCAGAAAGTACGTATTCTGGTGCCAAATAATCAAGAACTGGCTGCGTTAAAGCTGGCATAGCAGGACAGTACTCATTAAAAGGCCAAAACGGAGCTGACCCTGGCGGACTTTGGTTAGCAATGCAGAAATCGAAACCAAATATCTTCCAGGCTCCTTGTTGATTAACTATGATAGACTCCGGGCATATGTTGTGGTGGAGAAGCTTTACATCATTGTGTAAGAACGATAACCCTTCAGCTATCTGCATCAAACCATACTTAATCTCAAGCTCGTAAAGTTTATAGTTGACTAAGTGACTTGGTGTTGGTTGTGGCATGTTCTCCGTATTACCAAGCACATTGGCTAAGCTGGCGAACACCGGCTCTGTTGCAAATGCAAGACTCTCCCTGCTCTCTTCAAGTCCGTGTTGTACTGTGAGAATCTGCGGATGGCGTAATTTTGTCAACTGTATAATGCCCCGTTTTAGAGTCTCCAACATTATATCTCTGTCTTGTTTTGACCATCTTTCCAAATGTTTCTTTTCAAATAGAAATATTGATGCTTCTTGCTTTGTTGATTTTTTATAGCCTTTGTATATTTTCCATAGGAGCCCTATGAATTTACAAAAATATATTAGGTTTATCAAAATACTAAAGACTGCACAGTTGGCATGGTGGATGGGCAAGTAAACTAACTGTTAAGTGTTGCAGGTTTTATTCCCACACAAAACCACTCTTTGTGTAATCTACAATTTTACTTTCAGGCCTGGGTTTGATGTTTTAGTAAACATAAAGTCCTAGTAGGGGAATAAGCTGGAATCAGTGATAGAGAATTAACATACTACTTTGATTTTCAATTATTCATAGATAAAACTATGAGTCAGGATGGCAGAGATTACTAAAAACATAACAAATATTTTATCACAGTAATAATTTCATTTTAATTTTCAATTATATTTAAAATCTAAATTAATGCCGAACGGGTTAATAAATATAAATGTATGCTTTGTAAATTAAATGCTTATTTGTTTAAGAAATAGTTTATCAGAATAAAGATGGAAAATTTAAAAAAAAAACTGTAAACTGGTATTAACATTTGGCTTGCGAATTTTAATCACAAATATAACAATGATCTAAGCCTTTCAAAACAGATTCTGATAAGAAAGGAAAATAACATTCTAGAATTAAATATTACTTTTACATCTATTGCTATTGTTCAGTTTTTATGCATTTTTTATGACATATACACAAAAATAAACCTATATCAATTAAATATTCGTTTACTTACAAGCCAATACTGAAAATTACAGCCTAATTGAATCATTCTATTGACTAAGTATACATGTACACAAAACAAATAGAATCATATGTATACCACTCCCAGTCACGTACATCACTGAAGTGAGCAATCAAAGACCCCACAACCACGGCAAATAAGGTGCACAATAGACAGCATTCATGCCTGAATGCAAATTATAGATCAAATCAATCGTTTTTACCTGGACCAGCGCTTGCTATGAACTGTGTAGCCTCAAATTCTCTCGTCACAGGATTTCCGGGTAAAACTCCGGATAATTGAGACACTGTGTTACTAACTGACGAATAGAACTTGTTAAACACCTCCATGTTCTTGTTACACTTTAAACGTTTTATTGTATTGTGAAAATAAAAATCATTACGGAGCCAGACAAAAATGCACGGACATGAAGTGTCAGTCAGTTTGACATAAAGTAATAGGTTTGAAAACTAGGTACTGGTGGTGAGAAATAAGATGTTAAGATTTATATGCATACAATATTTACACAAAATTAAAAATGTTTGTGTTGTATTCTAATAACTTTTTAGTAATCTAGGTAAAGTATTTTTCATAAAAATAGGTTTTTTATGTTTTATTACAGAATAAAATACTTTCAATTTCTGAACAAAATAAGCTTATAGCACATAGCTATGTGCATTTACGAATATCGTTTTAAGAACTTCACCTGTTTTTGCTTTATAAAAAGTAAAACACCTTGACGTTATGGTTTGCCATCTGCCATCATCCATCAGATATATCTATACATAATATCAGTGTGCAATAGCATAAATAAATTAAACAGGCCAATTAAAAAAATAGGAGATTTTAAATTCTAAGCCCATCATTCGGGCTGAATGAAAGTAACCCTTGTAAACACTTATTTAATGTCATAGCGAATTGGTCACGATTACGATTTGTTTATTGATATTAAAAGTAAAAGTAATAAAATCGCATGATACGAAAGGAGACGAAGTTAAAATGTGGGTACCACGTTCCACAATCGTATTTCTAGTAATGATACCAATAATTTTATCAGAAGCTGACCCATATTCCAACGAAAAGTATCGACCACTTGGTCCACTGGTAAAATGTAACTTTTTGCCGCTAGAATTCTTGGATTGTGACGAACCAATCGACCATAAGGGGAATCATACTGCGAGAGAAGCTGTTGGCCACGGCTGCGTGAAGTTTGGTGGAGTTAGATATGACCAGGTTGAAAAAACCAAAGTACAATGCAAAGCTTTGGATGGAATTGAGTGTCATGGGAGCAGAAGTTTCCTAAGAGATGGTTTTCCATGTGTGCGGTACTCAGGACACTATTTTACCACTACTTTAATCTATAGTATACTTTTAGGGTTTTTAGGTATGGACAGATTTTGCCTCGGGCAAACTGGGACCGCTGTGGGCAAACTACTTACATTAGGAGGCTTAGGAATTTGGTGGATAGTTGATGTAGTACTACTCATTACAAATAGTTTGCATCCTGAAGATGGAAGTAACTGGAATCCTTATGTTTAAGAAGACTGCCTGTATGTTTGTTGCGAGTTGGTAAATTTAGCTCATACCTCCTAAATTCTAAAAGATGCTTTAATCATCTTTTACATGATTTAACAGTAAATAAAGTCTTAATGAAACTTGACCTTATTACAAATAAGGAGACACACAAGCTTATCAATCTGTTTTAGTACCAGTTGTATGATGAATGAGATTTCTACTGATACCTACTATTATGATGTTTTTATCTCATAAGATGAATTTTTGTAAGCTAAATACTGTTATCTACTGTCTGCTGTATTAAATCATAAACAATATTGTAAAACTGTGAATCTGTTGTATTATAAAATGTATTAAAACCATTCTGATCTATGCAAGTTTCAAACCACGCTAGAAATTCTTAAAAATATTATTTTTTACCTACCTATGTCTCGCGAGTTATTATAAAAAAATCTTGATAAAAATAGAAGAGTACTTATTTATGGATAATGAAGCTTTGTCATCCAAATTTGTTATAAAAATGTGATCTTATTTATAAATTGTAAATACTAATATTTAAGTGTAAATAAATGATAAGTGTTATACATTATATTAAAATTGTATTTTATTTTTTTGTGAACTTTTAGGGCTTTTTTGAGGTGTCAAACTCTTACTAAAATCACCAGGTTCCTTCTCCAGGCCGGGTCCGCGGTACATTACCCAGCTACCCCCCGCCCAGACTCGTTAGCGCTTAACATTTTCTTGCTAGATTTTTTATAATTTTCGTAATATTGTAAAAAATTTGCTAATCAATGACAACTAAGTCGTGACTAAATGGTGTAATCGTTAAAGTTAAGATATCATCAGCCTATAAGTGCCCACAGTTCAGCAAAAGAGTCTGAAGGTTTGAGCATTAATTAGCACACTTGCTCAAGACGGATTGGCGATTTATCTATATAATAAAAGAAAGTCGTATTAGTTACACTATTTATAAATCAAGAACGGCTGAACCGATTTGGCTGAAAATTGTTAGATACCTCCCTACTAATTTTGCTAAAAACTGGGAAAAGGACATTGGGATAACTAGGTAGGGTAGAGCAGGTAGACATGGTTGGTAGGATAGGGTTGTTAGTGTAGGGTAGATATGGTAGAGTAGGGTTGGTATGGCAAATACAGGTAGTTTAGGTTGAGAAATGTAGGTAGGTAGGTAACTAAAATGGGTAGTGTAGGTAGTCTAATGACTAGAGCGAGGCCGCGGGTAAGAGCTTGTGGACTTATAATAAGAAAATATAAGTCCATGTTTGCACTCGATGTTTTCCTTCACCGTATGTCAAATTTCATCATAGAAAGTACATAAAACTCAAACGTCACATTGGTACCATTTGCTAGGTTTTGAACCCGCACTACCCTCATGAATGGCGTGCGTTCGTGCAGCGGAATGTTGTTGAATTTAAAGATTTTAATTATGCAGATATTTAGTGTATGACGTCGTATAATTGTGTATGGTAAAAAAAATTTGTGCACGCAACCATTGTGGAGAAATTCACCAAAAACTGATTCCGCTGGGCGAACGTTGTCCTGGCGGAACTTTTTTTAATCCATAGACTTTAGAAGAAAAGAGATGTATCCAAAAATTAGTGTGTATTTGTGTGTAATTGTGTATGTATGAATAAAACTAGTGCATGCATAAACTTCGGAGAAATTCAAGTTTCCGCTACGCGAACGTTTGGCCATTAGCTAGTTTTCATATAAAGCGCTTACATAGAGAGCTGTAGATTTTAACATACGTTGTTTTGAATTTGTGTATATTTGTTTAAAAAACAGATTTAGAAAAAATCGTAGGGTTTAAAAGATAAAAATATAAACGTAAAATACGCTTATTAGGTCTTAGCTCTTAAAGTATGCACTTTAGGGTCTAGATTTTCACGTTTATACAAACCTTGTAAGTGTCTGCAACATGTTGCCAAGTATCAATGATGTTCCGTTAGTAATTAAATAGTTATAGGACAAATTTACCATGAATAGGTCACTGTTTACAAAGCAGTCAAATATCACGACGTTCTAAATGAATTGCATGGTAAAATGTATGCCAATAATTAGTGTATTTATTCAACTATTCACATGCAAAATTTCATGTCATTAAATTCAGTAATTAAAGAAAAACAATTATAATACTGACGAAGCATCGAAAACCTACATAACCCGACCAAGTTCGGATGGCTACAAAAAAGCGGCCGTGCCATATATCTAAGAAACGTTCTTAACTTTCCAATATAGCATTTATTAATATGGTACATTATCGTACACAAGCGTTAGGAAAAAATAAAACACAGTATCGTACACACGCTCGTGCATGCCTCTATTGGTTAAATAGTGTAATAAAAAATATTGGTTAAATAGTGTAATAAGCTACAATATGATAAATATTTACCTAAACAGTAGTACTTAAGTACTTACATGTGGTAAATATTTAATTTCCCTAAGGGGTCTATAGTTAGAATCCTGATCCGTGAAATCTTCAATAGAAATTAGCTGTATGAATTTTATTTGTCTTAAATATAATTAGATTTTATCTCAAATCTCAAGCGCATACTTAAATAAAGTACCTACGTAAATAGTACCTACTTTCTGTCATAGTCAAATACATTTAAAAAAGTAATGTGTCCAAAAATAAATGACCTATAAATTATTTCGAAACAACAAGTGTGTTATCACCTGTACCAATTCAATACCGGTATTATACTGTAAATTTTGGGATGTTACCTAAATATATTGCACAGCCGCTTTTTTGTAGCCATCCGAACTTGGTCGGGTTATGTAGGTTTTCGATACTTCGTCAGTATTATAATTGTTTTTCTTTAATTACTGAATTTAATGACATGAAATTTTGCTTGTGAATAGTTGAATGAATACACTAATTATTGGCATACATTTTACCATGCAATTCATTTAGAACGTCGTGATATTTGACTGCTTTGTAAACAGTGATCTATTCATGGTAAATTTGTCCTATAACTATTTAATTACTAACGGAACATCATTGATACTTGGCAACATGTTGCAGACACTTACAAGGTTTGTATAAACGTGAAAATCCAGACCCTAAAGTGCATACTTTAAGAGCTAAGACCTAATAAGCGTATTTTACGTTTATATTTTTATCTTTTAAACCCTACGATTTTTTCTAAATCTGTTTTTTAAACAAATATACACAAATTCAAAACAACGTATGTAAAAATCTACAGCTCTCTATGTAAGCGCTTTATATGAAAACTAGCTAATGGCCAAACGTTCGCGTAGCGGAAACTTGAATTTCTCCAAAGTTTATGCATGCACTAGTTTTATTCATACATACACAATTACACACAAATACACACTAATTTTTGGATACATCTCTTTTCTTCTAAAGTCTATGGATTAAAAAAAGTTCCGCCAGGACAACGTTCGCCCAGCGGAATCAGTTTTTGGTGAATTTCTCCACAATGGTTGCGTGCACAAATTTTTTTTTACCATACACAATTATACGACGTCATACACTAAATATCTGCATAATTAAAATCTTTAAATTCAACAACATTCCGCTGCACGAACGCACGCTCATGAATGAGAAGCGGGCTCTTTTAAAGCTGCGAGCCACCATGAAAGGATGTTAAGATATACCACACGTATACAACTGAAATCAGGATTCAGCAGCTTGTTTCATCCTGATCCTGACTATATATATACAGGTATGTGTATATATGTAAATATATTGGTAGTATGCTATATGTAAGTTTATTAGTTATAGAAATATACGTATATACTTATTTATACATCTTGTGTATTGTAAGTTTATGTTGGTTTATGATAGTCACAACAGGTACCTACCTAAGTAAATCAAGCTTGCTCCTTGCATCTACCACTGGATTGTCTCTGTACCACCCGAAGGTAGACTGAAAGAGAATGCTCATTGCATTAAGTCAATGATTATGTACAATTTTTAGCTGTGCATGAAGTTTTTAAATAAATAATACATTCCAAAGACAGGAGGAAATCCAAACAAGGGATGACACAAACTAGTCTTGAAAAATTACCTGGCCTGCTGATACACAGGTACATTCAATGTTCATGAAAGCGATTAAACAATAATCGCTTTCATGAACAACAGGGTCCCAAAAAATTGCGTTGTTAGAAATTATTAAAAACCTTCCAAATATGTTTTTCTAATTATAAGTTTGAAATCGCCAATCAGCCTGCAAGCGTGGTGATTAATGCTCAAACCTTCTCCGTGTGAGAAGAGGCCTTTGCTCAGCAGTGGCACTTATAGGCTGATGATGAAATAAAACACAATTGGAAATTTATTAGTTTATTATAACTTAAGCCACCAGGGCTGAGGCAGTGCTCGACTCATATTTCCAGTTGGGTGGGAGCACGCTCTTTGTCTTGTAGTAGCGGGCTAGCCTGTGAATTCTGGACTCAACAAGAATCAGCCTGAATTTGCTGTCCTTGTCCTTCCTGTTGCGTTCCAAGTGCTTCCTCATGGCAACAGCTTTCTTGATCAGGTAGTACAAGTCTTCAGGTAGGTCAGGGGCAAGACCCATAGCTTTCATGATACGCAGGATCTTTTTGCCAGTAACAAATCTGACCTGTGCGACTCCATGGGAATCCCTGAGCATGACACCTGGAAACAGAAAGGTATAAAGTCAGGCATAGCTTGGATTACAGTTATATTTAGTTTTCTCATCAACCCATATCTATCCATGATCTACTTTGGACTACACCATTATAGCTGAATTTCCTTGATATATTTTAACTAAGATTTTATAAAAACTTGTGAATTTTTTAAATTGAATCATTTAGTCATAATTTTATTTCATGTTAGGCATTATTTTGAAGGATTCAGTACACAACATTTTGAAAACTGCACTACATCTCTATTATTTAAAAACCTTATTATACAGCTATTATGCTTAATTGAGATCAGCAGTGGCACTTGAAGAACAGTAAGAATATTAATGCATTCATGTTTATCTAAGCATGTATTGTGTCAGCCTGCATGAGGTGAAGGTTGTTCAATTATAAAAAAATTGAAGATAGTACTGATAGATTACTTTCTACAAAAACAGCACTTTACCTAGAAATAAATTCATAAAAAAACATTCTGGGTTTCACAAAACATGACTGATTTTATTGTAAACATGCAGCGTTAGAATATTTGAAATGTAGAGAGGAAATAGCTGACAGAACATCTATACAATATAGTATATATCCTGTAACACTTCAGACATGGAAAAGACCTGCAACACCAGATATATGCACTTTTGGTCTGGTTCCAGATTGAAACCACATTGATAGGTGTTCCTTACAAACTACTTCCAAGGGACCCTAACAACACTTTGAACTGATCTCAAGGTGAAAATATACTAAAAACACTTTAGAAAAGACCTCACATTAAGTACAGTACATAACCACCACTTACCGATTTGAGAGGGAGTAAGGCCTTTCTTGCCAAGTTTGAAAATCTGTTCCTTAACATCGTCAGCGGTCAGTTTTAGCCAGGTTGGCACGCTGCGCCTGTATGGCAGCGCCGATTGGGAGATACCCTTACTGAAAACATAAAATACACACTTCGCTGTAATGTGAAGCCATGTGGTGACCACTCGACGAGTAGGTTATGTTAATGTCACAAAAACTTTAAACAACGAAAATTTTATGTTCTATCGTAATCAACACATAATGCACTATAAATAACACATAATATTACCCAGGTGCGTGCATACGACCCATGGTTGCGGCTTTTTAAAAAATCGCCGATCTGACAACGACAACAAGGGAATACGAAAAGATGGTTGCCGGAAGACGGTTAATCATTCAGTTCTCGTTCTTCATTCACTACGTTCATTTTATGGTCGCTAGTGTTGGGCTGAATTTGACCGATCATTTTACAGAAATTGTCTTTGATTATGACAGTTTACTATTTTTCAGTACTATCAATGTCAAGTTTCTTAAGTGTCAATTTGACAGTAAACTACTTCACACTCAGTATCAAAGTCAGTCCAAACACCAGAATAACTTGAGACGATTTTCCGCAAAAATGACGAACCCTTTCGGTGTTTCTGCAGCGGAATACAACCTCATCAAACAGCAAGCTCAAAGGCGAAGTGAGCTTAGGAAAGAGTTCTTAAAACAGAGAACTAACCCTTTCAAACATGCGTCCGAAGCTGGTTATGTCGTGAGTATTTAATTACGTAATTTTATTATTGAATTATAAACAAATAATATTGATATTCAAATTAATTGTAAATACTTTTTCTAATTTTTCAGTTCGACCCAGCGATGCAAAAGTTCCTGTCGATGAAAGTAACTCAGTTGGAGCATTTCCAGGCCAACACTAGAACCAGCTTGTTTGGAATCTGTACTATCGTTATTCCCATGTTTGCTTATGGATACATACTCTGGAAACACAGGACCACACGCGAAGATCAAATCAGGAAAGGTGAACTCCGTTACAAGGACAGGATGTTCAAATTGCAGTAATTATTATCAGATTAAGGATAAAATGAGTTGTCATGTAGAAATAAAATCAAGTAATTGTTAATTTCCTTTTATTTTTCTAGGCAGAATATTTTTACTATAACTATAAATAGTAACATAAAGAACAACACTAATTTCCAACTTGATTTCTTTTTTTTATTAAATTTGTTTTAAATACTGGCATTAACCATATTAGAAAATCCTTAAAAAACAATACCACTGACACCTGTCATTGCAAAAATGTTGATTTTGTGATGGTGCCATTCATTGTGAAGAATATAATAATAATACTGGTGAAATATTTTTCTAACTATGGCTAATAAGTATGGATTTTCTGATCTTGAGTGTAAAATAATACTGGATCAAATTGAGAGGCGTGCCAATTATAGGAAAGAATTTTTGAAACTCAGAACTGATCCTTGCAAACATTCCATGCAAGCAGGCCATGTTGTAAGTAAAACTCTACTTCATACTATTATCTAATAAGATAATAAAAATGTTTGTTAAAACCTATGCTTCTTACTCTTTCACTTAAAAACAACTGGATGCATTTTGATAATAATTAGCACCAGGGATAGATACAGACTATAATCTACTATTCGTCCAGATAACTTGAGCTAAGTGGCTGGCAGAAAGGCTTCATAACAGGCAATGCTCTAAAACTGTGCCATTACTTAATTAAATGGACTTGGGACTGCTAAGTTAAGTCATGGGTCAGGCAGTCTGTACCTATACAAGATAATTAAACTTTTTTGATCATAAAATAATTCTGGTGTACCTTTGTCAATAGTGGTGGTAGTGTGTGCCCTTTATAAGTGGTGTTACATTGTTTAACTGTACCTCTATCTGCCTCTCACTTATACTGGACTTGTTAATAGTACCCTAGTTCTAGCTAATAATAACGATCATCAGCAATAGGTTTCAGAGGAATTTTTCAAAAGGTCACCTGCATCTACTAGACCTTATAAGATATCAGATAACAGGGGTGTTGGTAGCTTTTTTAAGTGGAATGGTAAGACCGATAGTTTGTGACAATTTTCTGTTAACTTTTAAGGCTAAGAACTCACGGAGCGATTTTCGCCCGCGCCCGCTGCGGTTGCGGGCCCGCAGCTTCTGTAGAATTCAAATATTTATATAAAAAATTAAAGCACATTTCACGACGCGTTTTACGCCCGCGGTGTACGCGGTTGTATGCGGCTCCCGTTGTACCGGCGGGCAACTAGTAGAATCGCGCGGGCCGCGGTTACCCGCAGCCTCGGCGGGTGGCACCCGCGCGCTTTGCGATCGGTTGGCGAGCGACCGCGGGGGCCGGCGGGTCTTCTGTGAAGTAAATATAACGCAACGGCTCGTTTCTGGTGTGTGTCCATGGCGGTCTGGACCTCAACTGATCGTTAACCGCCCGTCTTGCAATCTTGCGATCATCGCCCGCCACATTTGCGGGCGATGATCGCAACCGCGGCGGCTGTGTAACCGCGAAAATAACCGGTCTCGTGAGTTTGGAAATAAAACCGCAGTTCCGCTACCGCGGCGGGCACGGTTCAAAATCGCTCCGTGAGTTCTTAGCCTAAGTCTTTTTTCAGTTCGACAAGGCTATCCAACATTTCCTATCTATGAAAAATTGTCAGATAGAACACTTTCAAGTTAATTTCGGAACAATACGTTTCGCATTGCTTTCTTTGGCGCCGATGTTCACACTTGGCTATATATTTTGGAGAACTCGAACTGATAGGGAGCGTGAGATACGTTGCGGCAGACTGAAATACAAGGACCGTCGGAATAAATTGGCCTGAATTTTATTGTTTTTATTTTTGAGCAGCTGTAGTCTTTAATTACATGTCTGAAGTAGATTTTTGGTCTTTTCTTATTTAGATGTTTGCAATCGTTCTTATAAGATTCGAAACCTGGTATTACAGTAAATTTATAAGTACTTTTCTAGTGTATTTAGCCATTGGCAAACGATGAACGAAAACGTAAGGAAACTGGACTTACATTTCTAATTATAAGTTTGAAATCACCAATTCAAACCATGGTGAATAATTCTTCTCTGTTTGAGATGAGGCCTTTGCTCAACAGTGGCCACTTAGGATGATGATGATGATATGGCTGAGCACTGCACAGATTAGATTGGATTTAGGGAATCCAATCTAATCAATTTAGAGTAAGAAAGAAGTAAAAAAGCCAATTTAGAGTAAGTGCCGCCTATTGGACAGAAGCTACCATTTTTTTGTACCAGGTAAACCAGTACCAATTAAGAAAAAAATAAAGAACACTGTGTAGAGATAGCTAGAATATATGGTAAACTGTAGGGTTAGTTAGGTACTAAATAAGAGTATAGGCGTAGTAATTATTAGCAAGCAGAAGTCCACTGTCCAATGCACTTCTGCTTGACATCTACGCCCCTTCTGGGTCCATCTACGCCCGGGTTGTCTGGCTCATCTGATTGCTATGCAGCCGCGGTGTGTTCGTTTTGTACAGTCTCGCTTCAGACACTTACAATCCGCTAGAATGATAAGGCTCTCACTAAGCAGAACCTTTGAAGGGCGCACTCCAGCTCCCTGCGTATTTTGTGCCAGCAGAGATCATCTAGGTAGGTTTCTACCCCACCGATTGGTTCGAGCTCAGTGACATGCTAAGTACTACTTTATCACCTTCAATCTTCACAAGGAATGCTCAGGGGCGCATTGCTGACTACGAAAAATTTTGACGCAATTTAGTCTCTAAATAATGCATTGCAATACAATTTATAAGGCTTATATTTCTATATGAATTAATTAAATTAAACAATGAAAGAACTTCATACACCAAAGTATAGCTTAACAACATAGCGTGCATTGCAATTTATTATTACAGTAAAGTTCGAATTAATCCGCCACTTCGAGGTTGAGGTAATGTGTCATCCCTTTCATTCATAGTATTCTTCTATACCTGCTTCTCGCTCTCTCGAAAGGAAAGGCGGGAAAATTATTTGACGTACTGTAAAGAGTTCTGAACACTCGAGTTAACGATCATCCAGGGATTTGTCTCTTGCTATGACTGAGTCGTCAAACTTGACCATGTAAGTAGTTCCTTTGTGCCAGTGGGCTGTTACTTTGGCAGGCTGAAAAAAGGAAAATAAGTTTCAAATATTTTTTTGTTGTTATGATGGTAAGCAATCGTGTCATAACAACTGTGAGTGAACCAAGCTTCGGCATGAATAGGTCGTTGGAACCCATTTGAGGTCTTACCAAGTAAATTTATCACAATTTTTTTTTTATGGTATAAATCGGCAAACGAACAGACGGATTACCTGATGGTAGGCAATCGGCGCCGCCCATAGTTTGTCCGTTGCCGGCCTTTTAGGGATAGGGTTGCGGATATAAGGATTGGGAAGGAGAGGGATTGGGCCTCCGGTAACCTCACTCACACGGCGAAACAATGCTGTGGTTGTTTCACGCCGGTATTCTGTGAGGCCGTGGTATCACTCCGGTCGAGCCGACCCATTCGTGCCGAAGATTGGCTCTCCCACACTTAATTTGGTACAACTAAGTTATTTTAAAATGTCTGTGATAGGGTTTGCAAAAACTAATATTTATTTCTAATTGTCTGCTCTGCTTTGCAGTTTTATTATTATTTACATGCTTATGTAAAGCAACTAGTTTCACTGTTAGGCTGACTGACAGACTTTTAGTTTAGATGTTTAAAAAGTACCTGTTTAGTTTATTTGCAACAACTGTTTTACCTATACCTCCAGGAGCAGAGTTTTACACTAAATTTTCTACCTCCTGGCTTAACAATGGAGCAATGCTGATACAAATTTTCTTCACTATTTAATGAATAATAAACAATCCTCTTCAATCACTATCTATTCGAAAAAACTATCAAACTCTGTTGTTTGTATAGTTTTAAAGTTATAAGCATACGTGGGGACAGAATGTGACTGTTTTATATGATGTAGTGATATTACTTACAAATCCACTCTTAGTGAGTACAGCTTCTATGATGCCAGCGTTGAATGTAGCACAGTTAAGAGAGCCCTTGTCTTTTGGTACGCTAATGAATTTGTTGATCTGTAACCATTGTTAAGAGCATCATTATTTCTCTGACTTATTCAATTAGTACAACAATTTTAAAAGGATTTTAAATGTCTCTTAAAAATTTTGCAGGGAATGATATAAAAATGTTACTTAGAGAACAATAATGTTGCCATTTATAGGGTTGTTGTTGATTGCTAGGTGTTGTTGATGTGTATTTGAATTTTAGGTACCTATTTAGCTAAGGTTTACTTTATCTAATTTCTAATCTAAAAAGAATTTGAGGCTATGAGCAAATCAAATGATAAATACTTACAAGAGCATCCTTCTCAATAATGTAATAAGTTCTTTCATCATCATTGGCATGCTCCAGTTTATCTGCTTCCTTGCCAAACAACACCTGGAACATTTGTGTACGAGAATAAGTATACAAAATTAGGCTAGGAAACTAAAAAATGAAAAAAGTATTTTGTATCACCTTCCATAAAGTAGATTTTACAAACAGCAGCATATTCAGGAGTTTAATCTCTCGCTTACTATTCCTTTCTCTTACAAAATATAGATCAAGGAGTCTGGTTCCTACATCGTGACCAATATCTGATAATCTGAAAAAGATGAAGAATTATTTGAAAATGGAAAGTAATTTTAAGTGTCTTTTTTGCCAAATGTTGATGGAAACTTACTTGGTCTGTAGTTCATGTATAGAATGTGACCGATTCTGGCAGTATTGAACAATTTCTGAGAATAAAAGTGCATAAAAGGCTAATGAAACCTCCCCCTTGCCTTTACTGAGCGGTTTGTCAAGAATCGACGATTTTGATCGACTAGACGACATGTTTTCTTAATTTCAATGATTTAACACTTTTATCTATCGTTCTTCACAATCATACGATTTTAATTCACATTATTTCACTGATTAAACCACCCAAATCATAAGATTTGTTTTCCAAATGGTAATTTGATGTTTCAGTCTATAAAATGTACGGTTTTTTTACTTTCATATATTGTTGTTTCACTTACACTTTAGTAAAATCCGTATACACATTTCTTTTTAATGCTAAAATATTCTATTCGGTAGGTACGAAGTAACGAACCATTCGTCGCACCAGCAAGACAAAGTTTGACATTAGCAATATGTCAATAAACTGTATTTTTTACAAAACGTAGTATCTAAGTATCGGGCTATTTGTCAGCACACTTGGTAAACTTCTTTTTAAGTTTAGAATTGTCAATTGTTTACCTACATATAACAGGTACATGTGCATACCATTCCGAAAATCTACGTAATAAGATCCTGAAGAATAATTAAATGAAATGGGAAATGTTACTTAGTTCAAAAAAAACTAAAATCTTGATCACACATTTTTAGCAAACCAGCGTCTTCTGCCTACCCTTAGGCTAAGAACTCACGGAGCGATTTTCGCCCGCGTCCGCTGCGATTGAGGGCCCGCAGCTTCTGTAGAATTCAAATATTTACATAAAAAATTAAAGCACATTTCACGACGCGTTTTACGCCCGCGGTGTACGCGGTTGTATGCGGCTCCCGCTGTACCGGCGGGCAACTAGTAGAATCGCGTGGGCCGCGGTTACCCGCAGCCTCGGCGGGTGGCACCCGCGCGCTTTGCGATCGGTTGGCGAGCGACCGCGGGGGCCGGCGGGTCTTCTGTGAAGTAAATATAACGCAACGGCTCGTTTCTGGTGTGTGTCCATGGCGGTCTGGACCTCAACTGATCATTAACCGCCCGTCTTGCAATCTTGCGATCATCGCCCGCCACGTTTGCGGGCGATGATCGCAACCGCGGCGGCTGTGTAACCGCGCAAATAACCGGTCTCGTGAGTTTGGAAATAAAACCGCAGTTCCGCTACCGCGGCGGGCACGGTTCAAAATCGCTCCGTGAGTTCTTAGCCTTATCAAGAATTTAAGTGTTATTGTAAATGCAAGCAATCCATTCCTATTTGAACTAAAACGGCAACTGCCTTATTATTACATAAGTTACAGACAGCGCATTCGTAACTTCTCTGGTTTTGCAGGTAGGTGCTGGTTTTGCACCTATCCATGGGAGGCAATACGGCCGATTGCTAATGCATGCTGATTGGTTACCTCCCGATAATCCATCAGCTCATTTGCCGTTCTACGAGATAAAAAAACAAAACGCCACTACAGGCTTCCTCTACAACAGGAGGGTTTGCCATCCATGATCTCCTCACTTGGCAGAGGGAGGAGTAGCAGATTGCAATTTAAATTGGATCAGAAGGCCTACCGTGACGAGGGATTGAGCTATAAAATGTGTATAGCTCCATCCCTCTTTCTCGCCCGAAAGATTCACGGACGCTTTGACACGTCATGGTAGGCCTAGTGGTCTATTGGTGCTGTTGGGTGGTTAGTTTCTCATTTGTTTGTAGGCAATGCCGACGTTAGGGAGGGGGAGGGGGGTGTGATGGGGCGATGGACCAGGGCGGCAAATTCTGGAGGGCGCCAAGGCCTGAAGAAAGAAGAAACCCTCAGAACTGTGCTCTAGGCTCTGTGCATACCTATGCATATTTTTTATGTTTTTTTTTTAAGATGGGTTTTTTGAGGGTTTTTGGTCGAGGAGTAACTGTTACGATATCAATACGATCAGAAAACACTAACACTTGATATTGCTTCCCTGAAGTGGGCGCCAATATACTTTCGACCGGGGTGTCAGTGGCCCTTACGCCGCACTGTCTGTAGGTATTATGATAGAGAGCAGTGACAGATGGTTCTCTGTGGTCACTCCACAATAATGAAATGAGGCCGATGCCGATTTTCTGTGGATCTTTAGTGATGATTTTCTGTGCATGGATGTTTCCGGAATTCATCCCTAAAGTTCGGACCTCAAATGTATTTTACAAACACGTGAATGTCCCGGCGAATCGGGCGAATTGATACTTAAAGCGATTTTATCGTTGTAAACTTATATCTGCGTCTGCGTCTCTTTTCCGAACATGACGGGACAGTACAATACTACCCTGTGGCAAGGTAATAATATCTACATCGACTGTGGCGCCAGCTAGTGATGCAAAAATACGTTTTCATGATGCGCGGCTTTCGGAGGATCTCAGACTAACTATAAATTTTAATGTCAACTGATAATGGGTCCGATAAATTCGAAATCAAATTATAATTTTTTTATTTTTACTTATGAATCCGAGAACATGTTGGTCACAACTTTCATCTGTCCATTGTAATCATTATAATAAGTCGGCCAGCATTTCAGTGGCTAGGTAAGTAGGTACTTAACGAAGTTATCATGTAGAAATCAACCTTGATGTATTTTTATGTACGCCTACATACTAGATTAATGTGGTTATTGGATTTATGTATAAAGGCAGGGAAGGCAGCTTGTTGTGAATGTACCTGCCTAAAAAAAAAATTAAATAAATTCTGACTATTTCCGACCCTGACAGTCTCTTTACTCGTAGGTAGTCTGCCAGAGATTGATGTGTGATGAGGAAATCTAGCAGTCTTTGGTCTTTTTTAATTACATACATATAGGTACCTAGATACCTACGTCTAGAATTCTTTATATATATACCTACCTACTTACTATCCACGTGTTTGACTCACCTATACCTACTATACATAAATCTGAAACTTATGATATTTTGACTTAGATAATAATAATAATATGTACTCTACGTAACTGGTCATGCTATGTTAGCAAGGTGATTGTACAGATGAATTAAGTTACCCACGCAACGGTTTTACAATTTAAATAACGCATGTTTTTTGTTAATTCTATTCGGTAGGTATTTGCTTACACAGGTAGGGACTCATTTATTCTTTTTTTAAATATGATCGAGGGGTGGAGATTTAGGGATTGGGCCTCCGGTAACCACACTCATACAGCGAAACACAACGCTGTGATTGTTTCCTTTCGTCGAGCCGGAGTATGGCTCTTTTATACTCAAATACAAATTACCTATTTAAAAATCTAGAATTATATATAGTGACTATACTTACCTACCTATGTGCGGGAGCTTCGGCACGAATGGGTCGGCTCAACCGGGGTGATACCACGGCCTTTAAGAAAACCAGTGACGTCGGCAACGCACTCGTAACTCCACTGGTATTAAGTATCCATGGGTGTCCAAAAGCGGCCGAATGCTTACCAACGTTTCAAACAAAAAAACCATAAAATTCCGTCTAGGCTAAATATACACGTACGTGCGTAAAATAGTTTCAGCTGCCCTATCATCGGGCAGAGCAGAGAAAAAGCCAGTGGTTTTAGTCAGTGTCTGACTGTTCTGACAATATCTGGGCCGAAAGAAGTCATACGATGATTTGCCCCTTCAAAAAAGAAAAGGCGATTGGGTCACTCATCTACGAACTGACCTTATTTTACTGACCCTGAGCGCCATTGGTACGGGTCACATGGCTGCTTATTATTTAGGTACATACAAACCCAACAACCTGTCTACAACTGTTTACTATTACTAACATCCCGGTTAAACTATCAAGCCCAGACTGTATTTGTTTATTTACTCTAGATATTAATTTATTTACATGTAAACAATACGATAAGCTAGTGCATGCCGCGTGCAGTCACGACTAGCGACTGCCATTATCAAATTACGAATTGTAACCGTGTGCCTGATATCTTTAATTTATGCCCTAATTAACGTATGTACTTTATAGAAATTAGGTCATTTACTTGACCCACTGTCTATCGCGACCTCACCGAAGTGGCGCGCAATAACTTGCCAATCAACTAAATAAAACGATACGTAATTAACAAAAACTTTACTTCATATAAAGCATTATTATAACAGCGTATTATAAGCTACTCCAATAAAACAAACTGTTACCATAAGATTAAAAAATAACATTTAAATCATTCGTCCAAAAGTACAATTTCGTTTCGTTACGACAATACTAAAAATATTGTCAATTGCCTACATATTTTTTTTTAATCTTGTTATCTTTTAGTCTTATGCGATGACCTTACAATTATTCAAATTACATAAATCGTGTTCTAAATGTATTACAACAAGTAGGTTTCCTTCAAACCGCATTACGCATACCAGTGCCTAAATCGATTGTGACGAAAAAAAAAGCATGTAACTATTAAAAAAAAAAACTTGATTTTTACTAAACAAACTATTAGAAGTTGAAAAGTAATAAGTTTATTGCAGGGCTATGAGAAGCGCTGGGAAGTGTTTGTGCCGCGCAAAACGGTTCAGTATTAGTTTACAGGTATCCAATAATCCAGTACTTATCGTTTTACATTTTCCTTCATTCCAATAAATCTATGCGTACAAATTCTATAATTAATATTTATTATAATTTATAATTCAGAACTTACATTAATAACCATCACGTTTAATTGGAAATATTAGTAGGTAGGTACATTGGTAAAATGTGAGCTTATGTTTCAACATTATAGGTAATACCTATATCTCACATTTGTATGCCTTCTAAAATTATGTGTTAAAATTGTCCGTACTAATGGACGGCACATTTATTTAGATTTGCGATTTTTGGCCAACATTAATTCTTATTTAAATAAACATAAGTGTTAAACTTGCGTGACAAGGTTTTGGGGCCTAATATTACAAGTTGCTAAATGTATTGGTTATTACATTTACGTAGAAAAGTATTCTACACGCTAATTTCATTATGTCCAATTAAACTAGTCCCTTAATTTGCATCTAGATAAACAATGTAACTTTATATTTTTGCAAAAACATGTGACCATAGACAAAGGTCGATTCTTAAATTACAAATGTTTAACTAACGATTACATAATATGGTGTTGCAGGTACAATATTATTTAACTTATAGTTAATAGAGGTTAATGAAACGATTAACATTATTCTATACAGTTTGAAAGAAACAAAATCGTAGGGATCATTTTCCAATTCTTTGGTTCAATTTACACGCGTAATGTATAAAGCGATCCAGATGCCACTCCGTCATAGTACATTATGTAAGCCATTTACAAAGGCAAATAGTATTAGAGATAGGCAGTAAAGGTGTTATGAGATCAAGATAATCTTAGTTGTACCATCCTATCTGCTAGAGCCGACGTATTATGTGTACCAGGGTTGGCAAATAAAGATGTATTACCTCTCCCTGTATAGAAAACAGATTTATAATAAGAACTTAAATCATTGAACTAGTTTTTAGAAAAAAGTGCTTGACAAGAGACCAATAAAGTTTTTAAAATATTATGACCTTGGTTTATCGAAGTATCGTTGATCCACCATTTCAAATTCGCGAACTTGATATGGCGCAAATAACTTATTTTTCGTACGTTTCCCACCACTTTATTTTTTTTATTATCGATTTTTGGGCCATGTTGGAATTAATTGATCATAGCCATATAATTAAACGAATAATACATCTCTACTAGCAACCCTGGGATTGGACATGTAGCATTTGGAACTTAATATACTTTATGGGCATTTTTTACAATATTTACATAGACAATAAATGAGTTTTATTTATTTTTAAAGTAAATAAATGAATTCTTCAATATAAAGTATATATAGGATTTTAAATAGGATATAAATTGTGGTGTTATGTACCCAAACCGAATCTAGACTTTTATTTTTACTTTTCGAAACTAGTTCACAAAACTTTCTGTCTAGTGCTTGAAAATACTCTCACTTTTATTGTGACATGAATATTTATTACTTTTGAATGAAACAAAATAACTTACATTCCCGAACAAAACCTGTTTACATGCATAATAAAAATGCAAATGACACAGTTTTGTAGTGTTTGTTACTTAAATATTTCTTTGAGCAAAGTGTGTTTATATTATAAATTCTTTAAATATATATAGGAAACTGTTTGTACAGAAAATTTAATCTTCCTCATAGTAATGGGAAATATTAGCATGTTTGTATATGCATAAAATCAATTCAAAGCATACATACATTTATAAATATTGTAATTTTAAGAATGAATTAATTATATTTACGTTTTTTAAACTGTTATTTGAATTATTATAATATGTATAGAAGAATATATAGTATTGTAGATAATATGATGTAATCTATGTCTTCTATTTCTATGGAAAATATACATCAAGAGTTTAGTTATATATTGCCACTATTGTGTCTATTAATTAGGAAAATACCTACAAATATATTTTAGTATTGAATAGACATAGTAGCAAAATTAATCAGCCTGGATAAAGGCAGCATAAAAATAAGATTTGAATGATGAAAGCAATTTACTGACCTGTACTTAATTTTTTGTTAATTTAAAATGTACATGTACTCTAAATTTTTTAAATAATATAAGTATATTTTTAAAGATGCCATAATGTTTTCTCAGTTAGTAACATTACAATAAACTATGCCACATTTAAGAAGTAGTTACTTTATGGTTATAAATAGAAACAACGAATTTTGGGCATAATAAAAAAAAATGTTTCGAAAAAAATTACAACACTATCAAATTCAATTATAGAATACCTCGCGAGGAAAATATGTGATCTCTCTCAAGTCTTTTAAAAATGGAGATATACTTGGCGTCACGTATAGGTGGCAGCGAATTCCAGTCAACTGCATGAAAGGTAAAGGAATGGTGGTTAAACAATTAAGGTGGGACTTGAATTAGATGTAATCTACATAGGGCTACAGGGGGACAAGCTACAGAAAACCGATCATGCACATAGATAGAATATGCAGGATTATTACGAAGTAGGATTGGCAGCCACTTGAACTTTTTACAAAATTCCGGGACACAATGCTTTGAACATTTTGCTTATTTATAATCCAAAATGTATGTGAAATTGCATTTTTGTAAACGCAGGCGAAAATCCAAGAGTGGAGTAACGCTTTTAATGTTATGGAAGAATTGATTATCAATGACGGTGAGGTACTAACCATCACCAAAGTCTCTTGCATAGTATGCAATCTACGATATGATATTAGCGTGATTATTTAAGCAAGAGCTTCTGATGACAACAGTCCTTAAACCAGTATGACACATAAAATTTTACATAGCCGGAAAACGCTGCATCCCAGATAGAATTGTGAACATTCATAGTGAGGTCAATCCTCAAGGTAAAATTATAGCTATGCACTAGAAAAATATTAAACCACCGACCATGACTAAAATAAAAATGAATATTTATAACTTAGGTTCAAATATGAATGAAACCAAAATGTTTAAACAGCAGTCGCCACACCATATCTACACAATATATATAAAATTATGCTTACTCATTGTATATTTACTAAACTATTGTGAGTCAAATATATATACACTTTTCCATCTTCTCCTAGCAACATGTAGACTGTACCGTTTCAGCTTCAAGGAGGTTGAAGTCCATGCCATTAGGACGGTTGAAACCAGTCTTGATTCCATCCCATCCATCCTCTACTTTGTATTCTCCGGTTTGTATGCGGTTGTATACTTCTTGAGCGACTAGAACAAATGCTTCTTCTACATTCAGGCCTGTTTTCGCTGATGTTTCCACATGATGTAGACCTAAAAACAAAGGAGAATTCATTTATAAAATAAAATTAATACTAATTACATCATGAATAAGGTAAGAGTACAAATGCCCAAATTAGTTAAAACAAATATATATAAATTGGATTTTTAATAAAAAATATGCACCAATGAAAATATACTCATAAAGGATACACATAATATTTTATAAAAGCATTTATATTTCCTTTATCACATGAAGTATTTACATTAATGAAGCACTTCCTGACATAGACAGACTGTTGACCTTTCTTATCCAATAAAAAAAGTACAAAGAACTTAATTAAGCATGAAATAAATACAGTCTATTGTATGTGAAAGAAAGAACTCATATAGCAAATAGAAAATTAAATAGCTATATATTTAATTATGCAAGAATCAGTCAACATCTGTTTGTTAAAATAATATTTTAGGATCAAAATAGCGAAACATAACTATATTGACCTACATTGAATGTGATAGAGATTAGAGGTTGTATTAAAAATAATGCAAATTTTGAAATGTTGAGTAACTCACCATTCTCCTCTGCAAACATACGAGCTTCCTCACAAGTTACTTCCCTTCTTGCACCATTTTTGTTATCTGTGCCAACTAAGTCCACCTTACAGCCCACCAGTGCAAACACTGGCCGGTGAGGCTCTATGTGTCTCTTTGCCTCCATCATCCACAGAGGTATATGCTCGAAACTAGACCTATTACACACATCATACACTAGTAGTGCACCAACCGAGTTCCTATAGTATGACTTCGTTATAGATCTAAATCTCTCTTGACCCGCCGTATCCCATAACTGCAGTTTAATTCTTGTCCCATCTTGAACTTCTATGATTCTCGCGAAGAAATCCACACCGACCGTAGGGTCAGACAGCTAAAATTTAACGCGCAATTTACAGCACAAATCGTATAAATAACATCAAAACAAAGGCGACTGTATGTACTTACCTCAGCGAATTTCCCATCTGTAAAATATTTCAACAAAGAACTTTTTCCCACTGTACTGTCTCCAATAAGAATAAGCCTAAATTGGTAATCGAATATTGGATCAACCATTTTTTAGATGCACTCGCAATAACATCAATTGATAGCAACAAAGGTCTTCCCAAAAATTACGTATTTTAGAAAAAGTGACAAGACAAACAAGAAACATCAGTCAAGTCATAGTCCTTCATATCGTATCATAACACTAGCCGACTGGTCTACATTTTCAAGCTAGTCTATGGTAGAAAAATAGTTTCGTTATATTTTTTACGTAATTATGAATTTGGTGTGTGATAATATCATTGTTATACGTTTTATTACATTTTCAAAAAGAAAGAAAAATATAGTTTATTTTACGTAAATTATGTAACTTTCTGTTGACGGGCGCATGCCTACTTATTTCCGTAATATAAAAATCGTTCAATTTGAATGAATTAAGGACTGATACGCTGATACTAGATAATGAACGAAACAAATTCATTGTTTATGTCATTCAATCATTCATTGCCACAATTTTTCAATGAAAGGGCTTACAATATTACAATATTGTATTTTTATGTGATAAATAATATCAAGTTGTGTTTTTTCAAAGTAAACATTTTTGTTGTTAGTATGTTGTTAAAGCAAAATGTTAACATAGTGTAAATAAAATAGCGATTAACCTATTTTGCTGAGGGTTTTTCGCTGCCGGCCATTCCGACCTATAGTTCTATAAGGCTAAGAATTAACGTAAGTTTACATTTCTGTATTGTGATCTGCTTGCGTGTTGATTGTGTATACTCCAATCTTGCATGATTTACGTGAAAAATTATCCATTACGTCTATTTAAATGATATATTTTGTTTTTTTAAATTAATTGAAATAAAAAATTTCGATTTCTTTCAGCTAGACTTGTTTTTAAAGTATGAATACAACACAAACTTATAAAATGAAGGAGAATTCAACGGAGCACGGCGATAATAAAGCCAAGTCTACGCCTATTGGTGGGTAAAACAAAAATAATTAACAAGATTTAAATTTAGATTTTATCATTTTAATTTGGACGGAATTTGGCCTTTGTTGTTAAATGGTAGCTTCAGTGTTAATATAATATATACTTAATAGTCTTCAAAATCACTTTCTGGACTTTAGGCTTCATCTAAATGAGGAATCAAGTAAACCCTGGCTTCCTAGATATCTTTTAAGGATGAAAATGATCTAAGCAATTCATATAATAATGTTAGTTAACTGTCTATCTTCTAGCACAAAATCATTTAAAAATTAATTAAACTCCAAGCGAACACATTTGTGTGCCTATGTGGTTTATAAATATATGTAAAGAAATAATTGGTTATTTGGAAATTGACCTACCAAAACATTTCTAAATTAAAATGAGCATAATGAAGTATAAGATTATGAAATAAGGTACAATTTGTTTCACTTGTTTAACAGCTATGGTGGCTCCAGAACTGAAACAGAATGCGGACGCTGATACAGAAATAACTAAAGCGTGTGCTGTGTTAGGATGCGAAGATTTCAAGAATTTAGATGCTGAGTCTTTTTTTAGGTAAATATTATTTTGTGGTCATAGGATGCTCTTCAGTTGCTTTTTACTTTTATTGCAACCAGTAACCACCAGTTATGTTTTCTTAATGAAATCAAGTAAATAATAAATAAAAGATATGTTGGTAAACATAACATGATAAAGGTGTGCTTAGTAAGTACTGTCAATAATCCTTCTAATTTCCTGCCTGTCCATAGGCGCATAACCATGATATCACAGAAAACACGTATAAAAAGAATGTAAAAACAAAATTTCTTAATTTCTTCAAGAAATTCTTAAATTTTTCTGTGTTTAGTTTATTGTTTTACTACAATTCAATATATTCTTGTTCCAATGCATTTTGTTAAGTTCCAAATTCATAATGTTTGGTATGCACCTTTTTATAATTTTTGTCTTATTGCAGGTTTCCAGAAGACCCAAATCTCAGACAGATATGGACGGACCTGACTGGTCGTAACAACTGGACTCCAACGGACTATTCATACATTTGCTTGCAACACTTCTCTATTGACTGCTTCAAGTGTGATGAAAATGATCAGATGGTATTAGTGGATAAAGCTGTACCATCTCTGAAGTTACCTAGACATGTTTTAGAGGTTTGTTTCAGTCTTTTCGCAGAAAGCTCAGAATAAATATAATATAATTCAATATTTATTAAACAATCTTGCAACAAATAATATTAAAACAACTCTTCCAAGAGTTTTCTAATACAGCTGTAATGTTTTTCTGCAAGAAATAGAAAAAAAAGCATAAACAATCCCAAAAATATTAGGGGTGACATTAAGCATGTCTGCTTATTTTGATTGCAATATTGTACACTTGCTAAAACATACTGGTAATGTTTCAGGTTGAATACATAGATGAGGAGACCTTGGATAATGAAGAAGAAGAATACATGTCCACTGATGAGGATGAGGAAAAAGCCAACAATACTTCCTTAGACCTGAACATACCTCAGAAAGAACTAGATAGCATTGAGCTGCTTAAATTATTCTCTGAAGTCCAGAGGCTGCAGAGACAGGCTGTTGGCCTAAAGGACAAACTTAAATACAATATGAAGGTACATAACAGGCAGAACAGATTTCTAAAAAGAATAAAGGAAATTATAGAGATGAAGAAGAAGGTCTTGAACCAGAAACGCAAGAAAAAGTGCAGGATCCTCCTGTCATTACAGGATAAAATTAAGGAAGATACAACAGGACTGGTCCTGGCCATGCCAATGCGACAAACAGAAGACTTGAAAAACTTCGCTTTAAGCATCTACAAGTATTCCCCACAAGCTTACATTTATATTAGGAACACGTTACGAACGATGTTGCCAAGTACTGAGATTTTAGATGCATGGATCACGGCTGGCTATCAGCCCAAAAATGTTATATCCAATAGCAACTTGATAAAAGTGGTTGCCGAGCAAACTGAGACACAACTTTCGTGTAAAGTTATGATAGGATAATAAGTGCAAATCACGGAAATATTGTTTTTTTAATAAACTAGGAATTTTACCAATTTATACCCTTCTTTTTATTTTAAAGCTCTTACCCCCCAAGCAAAAACGACCGGCAGCTATTAAAAATAAAATCTAAACCTGATTGCACCTATTCTCTTTAAATATTTTTTACTTTTTGCAGTTTTTCGGATTCTTTATTTTGCTTCCAAAATGCCTCTTTAGAATAGAAGAAAGATGCCTGAGGGCTGAGTGGTCATGTGTCTGCAGTTTACAAGTCTATCTCGAACTTAGGTACGAAATTATGGATTAATCTAAGCTAGCCTTATGTATCTTATGAAATAAGGGTCTTACGATACATATGGGAATTCACAGTAACTGCACAGAGCCAATTGTTTGATCCTGTTAAAACGATAAAAGTGTAGATCAGGAAGTTTTCCAAATTTTATGAAACATAGTAAAGTAGTTTCGTTCGATTCATCAAGATAATCCAAAACAGATGTACAACTGACGCCGTTGTAACTAATTTAGCATGTTTTCGTCTCTTGGGAAAAGTCACAGGACGCTATTGGAATATTTTGTGATCTGTCGAAAGCTTTTGATTGCGTTGACCACGATACACTATTATTGCAATTGGAACACTACGGCGTTCGGCGGGCATCTTTAATTTAAATCATATCTCTAGGATAGGTAGTTCAAAGTACTAGCACAAAGAACTCTCAAAGTGCCAGCTTATCGATGGGTGTACCACAGGGCTTAATATTGGGACTAGGGAATGCAAAACCCGCCAAAATTTAAAACCGGGTTTATTTTCGAGTTCTATTTTAAAAAACCCGGTTTTCGGTGAAATCGGGTTTAAAACGAGTTTTTTTTTGTAAGTACTTTTTTATATAAACTACATGGAAACGAATAAAAAATCGTGATCAAAGGAAAAAAACTTTAATTTATTTATTACGAAAACTATGAAATCGTTAACAGTTAGTCTTACAATAATCAACTTTAGACAAGTAATTCACTGAATAAACATAATTATCATGTTGATAGAACAGCTACAGCTAAGATACTGAAAATGGAAATAACAAATCATTAAACATTGCTTAAAGAATATTTTACTTTTTAAAGTATTTATAGGAACTGTCTGTACTCTAGTGCATCTACCTACAATAATATTTAAATAACAGAAAAAACTGTACTGCACGATGAACAGTTGAAATTGTACGATAAATTTACTTTAATTCTATATTTTTTACTTCGAAAATAGCTAAAACTTATTAAATTATAGAAACAAACCACAGAGAAGAGTAATAATACCTTAACAAACATCCCTTTTTTCTTTAAGATTCTCCCATGTAAGGGAAGGCAAAGAGCGTGAGCCCATGCAGCCTAGTCTTCAGTTGTCTTTTTCTTGAGAGCGTAAATGTCACTTTCACAGTGCTATAGTGTTGCCATTAAAAAAAACCGAAAACACCGAAAAACCGGAAACGTGGCTAAAAAAATCGAGTTTTTTTATCGTTTAAAATATCACAAAAACCCGGGTTTTCGAATTTCGGTAAAACCGGGTTGCATTCCCTAATTGGGACCTTACCATTTATTTCACTATATATTGGCATAGTTTTATTTACGACGTAAATAACCCTATAACAAAGGTTCACAATTTGTTTACAATCAATAATTTTATGATTTTAAATTATGTACCTGTATATAAAGGAAGCTCTTACTTATAAGTATATAATTGCGAAAAGGATATTACAAGCTGAAAGATTATATTAAGTATATATAAAGGCATGCTATTCCTGCTCCACAGGATAGTTAGTATACACGAAAATAACTAGTGTTTTAGTAGATTCTTGCTCAAACCATAGAATTTTAGTAATACGTGTTACAACTCCGCCACTTATATCTGGCCCAACCTGATTTTTAAATGTGAGTTCCCTGTAAGTCCTGTAACCTATTACAATTAATTAGACTGACAGAATGTAGGTATTTGTGTCAGCTGGAATTTGTCAAGCTCACTCATTAACGATGGCACGGGCACTGACTTGCTCGATTCCCTATAAGATGGTTGAGTTGGGCGATGCTGGTGTACCGTGTTATGTTAGTGAACGGGCACCGTCCATTAGGCCTACAAAGAATCTGATTATGAAAACTTATTGAAAAAGAGTTACCACGGGGTTTCTAGCTGGTTCTTCTCTATCGGAATTTACACTTTGGAACGAGC